CGATATGAGAAAAACTATGCCCTATCCATCATCCTCCTTGAAGAAATTGATGGTTAGATGAGGGAGCTCGCGGACGCGAGCTTGCCCGCCCCCCGCGCGCCGTTCCCGGGGCACCGCTTTATGCAACGGCCCCCGATATGCAAAGTGCGTCGGGAGAATAATAAATACAAAATTTTAGCTACGTGAAACCTCTCCTCGTCCTCATATTTTATTCATTCACGCGTCACGGAATATTTCCGGTGATCGAATATGCACGGCAGGAGCGCTTTTTCTCGCGGTGTTTCGCTCTAATTCGTTTCGTCCCACGTATAAAATCGCGCGCAGACTATAAGGAAATATAATGGTATAACATTTTTGCGACATATACACAGGAATGTCTGACGTGACAACGCACGTGTGCAGATAGAGCAAGTTAATTCGAGCGAAGGGATCCTTATCATCTTCTTTAATCGACCACGTAAAATTTCGAGATATTAGTAAGAAAAAGATTAGCGAATCAATGCACGTGACTTTGTGGGACAAGATGTGTAGGCGCGAACTCATCGAAAGGGACTGAAACTTCCGACTAGATTTGACACTGAAGAATTGGGCTAAACGTCTGTAGGAGCTTCTATTTCTGAACTGTAATATTATTTCGATTTTAATGAAAGTCAGGGAAAAGTATTTCTGTTCTAAAAAAAGGACTATTTCGCAATTTTGTATCCACTGTTCCTTTCGAAATAAATACTAAAAAAAGTTTAAGAGCAATATATCCCTGAAGTCATCTAGATACAGTTTAGAGAACTAGGAGAAAAACATCTAAAAAGCAATAAAAAAAATTTCTTTGCTATATATATATATATATATATATATATATATGAGTAATAACAACATATTTATTTAAATCTAAATTATATTTTATATTTAAACAGACTAAATAATTTCTGACATGAAAAACAACTTATTTTTTTAAGTTTGAAAAAATATATTCTCTTATTTAAAAAATATACATTTAAATTATAGTTTATATAGTTAATATAATTTAGTAGTTTAATTAAATTAATTTAATATATATATATTAAATGAATTTAATATATTAAGAATTATATGTATATATAATAATAGTTTAATATATTTATTAGTATATAATTAAATATAGTATATTTAATACATACACATTTAAATATGTTATTTTAGTACACATACCAAACAAAATACATATTTACTATTTCTTAAATATTTTCTCAGTATCTGACGAAATTATGTTTACACAGCTCGTCCTACAGCACTTTTTCATACATCGAGGCTCCATGCATATTCCGTCGCTAATCTTTTATTGATATGTTGAAATTTTATGTGGTTGTTTAAAAAATAATAGAGATCTTTTTGTTAACACGTGCTCTACCTGTACACGTACAGTTGTCATGTCTTGCATCAGACACCCTATATAGGTATCTCTCTCCTCTCCCGATCGAGGTTCGTTCGCTGAAATTCCACTTTTGAATTCCGGCCACACGTCTTGGCCGGACAGGATTTCCCTATTAATCAATCGGGAACAATATGATATTCAAATTCGCAATATTGGCTTCTTTCAAGCCTCTGTACGCGTCGCGGAGTACCGAAGAGAACTTTATGAGCTTCGTGCTCGAGATTTTACATTCATCCCTTTCGACGCGGGATGAGAGAATCGGCGCAATCGTCGTCGTTCTCGTCGTAGTCGTTACCGTTGCCGGTGCTCTGACGATTTAAACTTAATTCGATTTTCTTCGCGCCGATACGATATCTCGCCAACCGCCGTCTGTACAATCGCGAATTAAGCCACCGAGATTTGCAACAGCGTCACGTTCATCCTGTCTCGCCGACCGCCATTGTTTGTTGCGCGTCGTCCTATCCCGAGCAGATCATATTTCAGAAAAAGATCTAAGTATTAAGAGGGAAAATTGATTATTGTGTATTTATGGTACCATTATTAAATTTCCGCGTCGTATTTACTGCTAAAAATTCCCCTCAGGATCACGCGTCGCTCTATCCCAAACAAATTATCTTAAAAAAAAATTTAAGCGTAACAGGAGAAAAAATTAATTATTGCGTTCGTGCTATATCATTATCGTAAGTATCCCTTGTTCATTTCCACGTTATTCGCCTTCCACTGCAAAAATTCTCTTCAGAATTGCGCATCGCGTTCTAAATTGTAATTATAAAATAATTAATGTAATTATAATTATCTTAATTATTGCTGTTGTTACCATTATATTTATCTCTTGTTGATTTTCACGCCGTTTGCTATAAAATATTCCCTTCGAATCGCGCGTCACTCTATTTCACACACACAAACAGATTAGGACAGACCGGGGGATGCACTGTGTTACAGAATTTCGAAGTTATAACTTCCCAGGCAACTAATTGTTGTGACTGACTGTATAAACATATGATGAGGCAACCTTTTGAGAGGCATCTTCTTGTATGTATTAATGCCCGTCACTCTTCTACCTTAGAAAAACATTCAAATACCAAAAGAAAAAGTTGATTTTTTCCATTACTATCATTATTACACGTATCCTTTGTTTGTTTCCGCGCTCTATTCGTCTTCGACTGCAAAATATTCCGTTCAAAATCGCGCGCTGTTCTAATAGCCTTCTAATAGACAATTAATTGTCGTCATTATTATCATTGTCACATTGATCCCCTGTTCATTTCCGTGCCGTTCGTTTTCTCTTACGGAATATTCCCCGCTTTACAAACGTATTCATATTCATCGTAAAAAAAGATCCAAGTACAAAAAGAGAAGATTGATTTTTGCCATTGTTATGCCGTATCATTGTTGCTATATCATTATCACATGTATATCCCTGCTTCTCATTTCTGCGCCGCTCGCCACGCGTTTGCTGCACAAAATGTTTCCCTGAGAATCGTCCGTCGCGTCTACGCCGGACTCGAACAGCCCCATCACATTTTCATTAAGGACAATTTGCCGGTCCGCGTCGCAGTTAAGCGCGGATAAACCTCAAGATTGAGAAAAGTCCCTGTGGCGACGGCGGTGGCGGCTGTGGCGGCGGTGCATCCCTATGACGATTTGCCCCACGGACGGCCGAAGCCGTAACAACGACTATTAAGTGCTCCATAGTCGGCGCGTTAAGCAGCTCTCGGAAGGAGCGCATAATAAACGCGCAGGACGCTCAGGAATAGAAGGTATTCTCTATCCAGCCCGCGCCGTTAAGTAGAAACCCCGAGGGTGGAGAGAGGCGGCGAGAGACAACCGTAATCCCGCATCCACCTAGCCGCATGATAAGCCGCGGAGGACGACGGGGTGAGTGGGTGGATGGGCCGGGAGGGAGGGAGGAGGAGGTGGGACGGGTAGCGGAGGCTTTCTTTGTGAATGTCGGTCGGTGTCGTCCTGGTATCCCGAAATTGCAATAAGGCGGCTAACTGCGCCGGGGCCCGCGCGAAAGCACGCCGCGTACTTTCATTACGGTACGTGTTAAGAGTAAGTTCGCGAGATTGCGACGGCCTTTCCGCAAGCTGGAGCGAGCGAGGAGGATCGCGAGTGCGCGCGCATTAGCGAGTGCATTGAGAGCCGTTTCGACCTCGTTGTTTCTGCGCTCGTTTAATTAAAAAAATCCAAATTTGGATTTCTATATTTATTTGCGAGCAACGTCATTGTGCCGGACAAATATTCACGCTTACTGACAGCTTGAGATGTTGATTTTTAATGTTTTTGTCGTTCTCTTCAAATACTGAGCCATGCTCCCCTTCATTTTTGCATGTACTTTCGTGGTGCGTTTGTAATACTACGCAATTAATATGAAACGTGAGCTTTGTAGGAAAATGTCAGTATTTTGTCGATAAAGTTTCAAAATATAATATCCCTTTGATGAAAGATTCATTACAGAATCACTGAATAATCGACTATCTCATTATTTTAACTACGTTCATCGTTATATTTAATTTCAACGAACTATGTATTTATTATATATTTAATTATTTATATATGACGTATATATAATACACTGTTAAAATATAATATAATAATATATATATATATTATATATAAATAATATAATTATATAATGTATTTCAATGAGCAATTCAGCGATAGATAAAATGTACGTGAGGTAAGGAAATGTTTAATAATTTTATAAAGATTAATGGATAAAAAAGGAGTAACAAATTTTTATTCTCACAATCTCTTCAATCATTGGAAGTCTTTGTGAGATTTAAAATTTTTAAAAGAGCTGATAATAAAAAAGTTGCAAAGGTAAAGATTACAATTGTGTGTGTTCCGTAATGTTGCAAATCAATAGAGATTTGGATTCAGTACAAGAAGAAAGTTAAACAATCGTAAAGAGAAAATGCTGGCAAACTCAAAATAAAATACTTTGCCATTCGAGCAGCATCTCATTAGACTCACAAATCAACATTTGCGAGATTTATATGAAGTTACAATTATTTGCCAAATTAAACGGACTGTAAACGCCGATCCAAATTTCAATTTGGATATCTCTTTTTACTAAATTTGTCAAACATCCGTAAAAGTCGGAGACTTTTGCATAATGAATGATTTGCCATACCTGGGAATACATGACGTATCGCTGCTCACGTTCCAGCATCCTGCGTCCTCCGTCCTGATTTCTTGTTTCAGCATCCTGCCCCTGGCTGCTTCGTGGTGCAGGACATTCATCAGCACTGGACACTGACACTCGCGTGAGTACGACGGTTGGATTGAAGAAACGCGCGTCGATTGACACGATGTCAATAAGACTTCAATTCGTCTGGATTCGCGAAATATTCGTCACACCACCACGGATATTTTTGATCGCGCGGGAATCGCGTAACGCACCGAAACACGCGCCGCGCGGTACGTCGCTCGCGGGCGCTCGCAACGATAATAACAAAATATACACAAATCGCGAGGGAATCCAAATGGGCGGGCAGCGTTACGTCATCGACTGCCGTTAGCGAAGCGCCGAGAACAACAGTAACTACTCTCAACACATTCCCGACCTTCAAGATGATCAAAAGCATTGTCAGTAGCGCGTTGTACGTTGACCGTTACATTACGTGTCGAGCCGGCGAGCGACACGCATACCGTAGAGTGTGTTCCGTTCCGTTGTATGTGTGTGTGTGTGTGAGATCAAAATATTTCATTGACTCTTGAGACGTTTCGTCGACATCGCGTTAATTTCGGATCGTCGTAGCTATACGAGACATTAATCCATTGAAATCTTAAGTTAATTTAGTAATAATATAATCGACAAATTAATATAGTCTATGTGTATCAATCGTCATGAATAAAATCACGAATAACTGAATCGTTTGATGACATTAATAATTGATCAAACTTTGATTTGATTGATTATATATATTGATGAATAATGGATTTTATCAATCGCTGAAATTATTCGTGTTTACGTACATAATGATTAGTTTATTTTGATTGCTGATTTGACGTTTATTTTAGCTAAAGAAAGATTTCAATCGATCAATGCTCAACGTGTACGTGTGTGTACAAGTGTCAGTGCCAATACCACGACGGAGCAGCTGCTGGTAGCAGGATGCTGGATCGGGAAGCCAGGATGGCGGAAGCAGGTCACCAGGACTGAGCAGCGGTACATCATGTATCTCCAGGTGTGTGAAATCATTTATTATACAGGAAGATTCCGTATTAACGGAAGTTTGACGAACTTACCGCGAATAAAGAGATATCCGAGTCGAAATTATCCGATATCCGAGTTGTTATTTGATAAATTGCAGGCTTATTATGATATAGTTTCGCGAATCTCTAATTACTCGCCGATCTATGCTCATTTCGTACAAGATATATTGACTCAAACAGTCAAATCATGGCTCATAGATACGAGCCCATTGGTTTAGACAACTTAATTGACGCTCTTGGTCAACCTAGTTATGCTCTCAATCAGAGATTGTAAATAATTTACAGCTGTGAATACCGGCCTCAGAATCTAGTGTAAATTTCGTAACTGTTGATTTATGTGTCTAATAATGTTCCTTGAGTCGCGAGCTATTTCGCCTCGAATTTGCCAAGGCTCTTGTTTATCGCAACAAATTCAAATTTAAAAACCTCCATTGGTAAAAAACATTATTGGACACACAGCTGTTGTTTTAAGCCTTTGCAGCTTCTTCCTTATCAGCTCTTTTAAGAGCTTTAAAGTCCTTGGAGATTTCCAAAGCCAAGGGAAAAAAGAAAAGAAGCTATGAGGATAAAAAAATGTGTTGCTTCTTTCATTCACTTTTATCCATCCATGTTTACATTAATCTTCGTTAAATTATTTAATATTTTATTATCTTACGTACTTTATATTTGCGACTGAGTAAGTTAGATTAATAATTAATATATATATTGCTAATTTAAATTAAGAATAAATATTAAATGCAGACATAATATCGAGATAATCAAATGTTAAATAATTTGACAATAAGTTTTTCTTGAGGACATATTGCTCGTATAGTCTCTGCAAAAAGTAACTGAAAATTTGAAATATGCTTATATTTCTATTTTTCGTATAAAAATGTATATGTTTATATATTTTTTTACTTTAACATAAAATTTTTATTGTTTATTTATTTTATTTTATACTATATTTATACTATATTTATACTATATTTTATACTATATTTTCGCTTTATTTAATCTCTGAAGTATAATAAAACTTAGCATATAATATTTTGAATATTTTTAGTACATGTACTAAATTATGTATACAAAAATTTAGATCTTTGCTATTGTTCTTTTGATAATCTCTTTCTCTCTTCCTATACTAAAGACAGCAAAATCATATATTTACGTAACAGCATGGTTTAATGTACTCTCAATTAGCAGGATATCGTTAAATGTATTAAAAACATTATTGAGATTCATTAATGAATCATCATTAATGCATCATTAAAACGTTGCTTGAAGTTATCATGTTTCCTGGATTTGCATTTTAAAGTGGAACAACTTTTGATTCAGACGCCGAATCAATATCAAATTGTCCGTGATTAGTTTTACGCGCAACATAGATTAATCTCAAGATCCTTTAAAATCTTTTTATTATTTTTGAAATATGAGCAATAAACTTTTAAGATTCACCACGGAGAAAACAGCAGCGAATAAAATAAAGCAATCTTTTATACATTATTTCTCGAGGTCCTCCACTGGCTCTTACAATTCGACGCTTGTGTGAACTTGGCACACAATATTTAAAAATGTGACATTTTTTTTAAAGTTTTGATACTCTCTTCAAAAGTTC